GGAGCACCGCCGAGTCCATGGAGTTAGAGAACAGTGCGCTACCCGGGAGGGGGGAACGGGTTAGATTCCCCATTGGCAGCACCCGGCGGGGTGGGGGCGGGAGGAAGACGATGGATCGTCGAGTCTCCTGGGGAACGACTGGAAGTTGGTAAATTTCTCCCAGTTGTGCGGTTCGAGGAGCAGTTTGGGGGGGAGGTAAGGTGGTCATGGATTTAGAGTTGTGTTTGTGTGTGAGAGACACGTGAGCAGCCGTACTTTTCCGTATTGTTCTGCTGCAGGTTTTTCTCATAATCGTGGCTGCCGAAGTAACCTTCACTTCCTCCCTGTTTCAAGGATTTTTGCATGAACTGGTCTTCTAGCCATATACATTTTTATGCAATGCAGAGGATGAGAAGTGCGTTTGATCCTCTCACGGACGTTCACATGACCTCTCCAGGTGCTTCCTTAGTGAGGGAGAATTAGGTTAGGTCATGTCTTCCAGGTGCTGTGGGGCAACTCAGGTGCCTGCTTGGAGCCGGGCTGGGTTGTGGTGAGTTGGACGAGGAAGGCCTCTTGGTTTGTCCTAGTGATCTGGTTTCATAACTGTTTGTAATTTTTCCTGGGTCCACAGACAGGCGGCGGTGCAGGACCTCGTTCTTCACAGGAGGCCGTGGAACCCCCCAAAAAGTTCAGTAAAGCATACCATGCTGACGACAAGCTTAAGGGTTAGCCTTACTAGTTAGCAGGGTTGTTGTTGTTGTTTTTTGGGGGTGTTTTGCCCTTTTTTTGTCACTCTCTTGTGCACTCTCTGAAAAGGAAGCTAGGGAATTTTGATAATGGGTAAAGAAGTTGTAACTTAAGGCAGCTGAAGGAAAACAGCTTTAAAGGCTGGTTATAAAATTAGTTATGAGAGAACTGAATTGTCTAGAAGTACGACTTGCCATTTATTCTCTTTTACAAACATAGAGCTTAACTTGGTGCAAGGCTGTTGTTTTTTTTTTGAACATTGCATTATTGAATCTTGGATTCTGTTCAAATAGAGGAAATACCCTTTAAAGAGCTTGAGACTTGTCTTTTAGTAGAAGACCAGTTTCTCTTTTACCTCAGACAGGATGACGTTATATATAAGCAGGGATGTAATAGTTCAAGTATGTGTACCAAAGAGATGGACATTTCCAGCTATTCCACTAACCTGTTGAATTCTGTGGATTGATTTGTATTGATAGATACTGTATTGACCTAGTTGGATGTTTCAGGATAGTTGTTGTTCAGGCTACATTTGAAACATTGAAGAGAGGGATGTGATGGGATCCTGTTTTCAATAAAATCTATTATAGTAGGTAGAACTTTCAGTTGCATGGTTCTTCACAGACGAGAAACATTTTAGAGAAATCTAGTCCAACTCTTTTGTTTTATTGATTAAGAAAACAAGGCTTAGAGGAAACTGATTGTGGTGAGTAGTAGCAAAAGTACAAATCAGAGTTTTCTAATAGTTCAGACCAGTACACTTTTTGACAACTTAATTCTTTGTATTCCCTTCCTGACCTCTTTCAAAAAATAGGCAGTGAATTGCATGGTAACACAATCATGTAATTGTGGGTAAAATATCAATGTTAAGATTTTAAATTCTCTAACAAAATATCAAGTTCTGGTTTGGAACTCACTGTCAAATTGAATGCATTACTTACTGGATTATTACGCTGCAAACTTCACTTATCTAGGTAGTTTAGTCCATTGGATTTTGGTCTGATAAGCAAAACTTTGAGTTATCTCTTAACATCATGTAGAAAAGTCTTAAGTTTGTAGATGTGCTTATTTTGTGAGTTAGGTAGGTTTTCCTTTAAAAAACAACAACCAGGAATGGTATATGTTGAATTTGATCAACTAGGGGAGTGTTTATTTTTAATTTACTTTGTTCTGTATTGTGGGTTTGCCATTTGTTATGACAGCAAGTCAAAAGATAAGTGTAAGAAAGTGCAACCATTAAAAATAATCTATATAGATACATGATGAGGGATAAGCAAACAGGAGTACACAGTATGTCTACAACTGCCTTCATCCTTGACCTAAATAAAGAAATAAATAAACCTCATGGTCTATATGTTATAAATGGATCACTTGTTTAATGTTTTTCACTTCACTACCATTTTATTGACATCGACAGAAGTTTAAATTTCTAGTGCTAGGAAATTTTGTGGCTAATACTTGTATTTAAGTCCGTTTTCTAATTCATTATATCATTAGCTATATAGTGAAAAATGTGGATGACATGATTCTTGAGATTATCGTTCCATTAAAAATCATCACAAGGTTAAAGAGGAATATAAAAAGTTAAGGTTTGGGGGTATTTAATCTGAAAAGGTGGAGGATAGCATAACTACCTGTACATTTGCTATAAAGAAATGCTGGCTGGATATTCTTTCTGCTGAAAGAGGAAAAGTTGGAAGGAAAGGCAATGTAATTGAAACAGCTTTATTTGAGTGTTGAAGAAAAAGAATCTAATTCTTATTAAATGTAAAAACAGGTTATTGAAATGGGATTTTCTGTTCAGCATTTCAGAATAGAATAATCATGTTTTAGATAATTGGTGTCACTTTGGATATATCTGGAAACAAAAACATAAGACCAAGAGTTCTTCCTCTTCCCTCCCCATTTGACACAAAACCTTAGGTCAAAAATGGAAAAATGTATAATTATCTTGTCTCTCAGTGGGTAACTGACCAATATGGAAAATAGAAATGTCTTTCCTAACAGCTTTTATGTTAAGAAAGACATTTCTATTTTCTATATTGCTGTGATGCACTTCTTTTCAAATTAGTAGACTAAGTTAAATTACTAACTCTAATATTACAAAGAGAAACATGTTGAAATTGCAAGTGTTGATAGTCCATTTCAGAAATAACATTGCATTTGCCCAGCTGGTATGCTCAGTGGTTGAGCATCGATCTATGAACCAGAAGGTCACATACCAATCCCCATCAGGATACCTGCCAGGGTTGCATGCTCCATCCCCAGTAGGAGGTTTGCAGGAGGCAGCCAGTCAATGATTCTCTCTCATCATTGATGTTTCTATTTCTACCTCTCTCTCCCTCTCCCTTCCTCTCTCTGAAATCATTAAAAACATATTTTTAAAACATAACATTGCATTCTACTAATGCATTTTAAAATGTAATTGAATTGCATCAGTGTTTGCTAAAGCAGAATTCAAACAGGAAAATTTTTCTGTTAAAAGTAGGACTCATGGCACTGCTGATATTGCTCAGTGGATGAATGTTGACCTATGAACCAGGAGGTCATGGTCTGATTCCCAGTCAGGGGTTGCAGGCTTGATCCCCAGGAGGAGGCATGCAGGAGGGCTGATCAATGATTCTCTCTCATTATTGATGTTTCCATTTCTCTCTCCCTCCCTTCCTCTCTGAAATAAATTAAAAAAAACATATTTTTTTAAAAGTAGGACTCATGTACAAATGTAACAGTTTTGTGTGCCTAAAATGTAAATGCAGCAGAAGTTGATCAGAATTCCATATATTTTTATAGATAACTTAAGGCTTTAAATTTAAGGAACAAACCTAGTGAAGACATTTTAGACAAGGGAAAGCAGTAAATAAATTAGTACTGACTTACTTTTCAAAGTATTTTGGAAAATCTTTATTGACATGAAAGAGGTAGGGTTGAGAGGCTTACTTGTTTCCCATTGTCATCTTAATTGAAGAAGCAGTATTTGTAAACTAGATGTTAAGCTCTTTGAAGCATTAGTTATGTCATAATTATCTTGTCTCCTATTCTGTTTAAGCACAATACTCAATAAACATTTTCCATGAATTCATTTAGGAAGCCAGGAGAAAGAATAGTGTTCTTTCTTTCTTGGATCCAAGGGCTTCCAAATAGTTGGAGTTTGGATTTCCACAGGTATTAGGGGGAAAGCCAGTTAAACTAATAGACATTGATTATTGAATTTCTGATAAATACTTTAAGCCACCTAGATATATATATATATATGTTTAAAAAACATAATAAAAATTATTACTTATTCAG